GGGGGGGGGGGCCCCCCCCCCTCCCTTTCAACTCCACCCTAGCGCGCCTCGGGGTCAACCGTTCGAAAACACTGTAAATATCAGTGTTTTCAGCTCTTCCAGTCCTCAGCAGTGACCAAACATCATGGAATTTACAGCGTTTTTTGTGGCTGTCCGGCAAAAAACACCGCAAAAACCGATGGTTTTTGATGCGTCTCGGTTAGAAAAGTGACCGAAAAAAGACCAAAAACCAGGAAAGATTTTGTCAGAAAGGGTTTTTGAGGCTTTTGGAGGCTTCAAAATTGCACAACCTAGACCTTCCAACGGCTAAAATATTCTAGTACGATTGGGTTGTTGTATTAGTTTCTGATGCTTCGATGGAAAAAAAATGGTGGTTGTCAGAAACGACTGATTTTTGCTTAGCGGTGTGATTTGGGTATGCTCCACAGATTTTGATCCGAGTAGCCATCACCGGCTATCACACATCTATATTTAGGGGATGACTTCCGTATTTATCAACCCATCCATCCATCAGCCATCCCATTGGACGCAGTGGAAGACGCCAGTCATCATCGACCCGGCAAAGACCGACCTTCAAATTGTTTTTGCGGCCTTCTTGATGACGATAACTGGATTAATGCCCAGCTGCCAAGTGTCTTCATTTACCTTTACCATTATATAATGAACGACTTCGAACTCCGGTGGAATTGCAAGATGCGATGCAGGATATGTACAAAGAATTTAAAAAAAAAAACTGGCTACAGGGTTGCAATAAGTTCATCCTTGGCCAATGGCAGAGATGATTCGATATATAATAAATACATTGATGTCACCACGACAAAGGAGAAATTGATAAAAACATTTGTCTGTTCATGCCCAGGTTGTGACCTCTGAAGACCTACATGGAGTGGAAAGCACTTAATGCTATTCTGAGGTTTCGGAGACAGAATTTGATGAAAACCCACGACCAGTTTTACCCGCAAAACGCCCACAAAAACCCTCAAAACGCCATCAAAAACCGGCAAACGCCCACAAATCCCAGAAAGTAGGTCAAATGGGTTTTTGATGGTTTTTGAGAAACCTCTAAATTCGTTGAATTGCAACTCTTTTGGGCTGAATGTCATGAGTAGGATTGCCTGCTCCACTTGGACAATCTTTGGTCATAAGCTGTTCGGGAGAAAATGAGTGCCTAGTCATGTTTTCCTACGAGCATGATGTCGACATGAGTTCATTTGTTAGCAACAATGCAATTATGGTTCCTTTTGCATACTCGTATGTCATTACCGTATCTTGTAGTTTTGCTGCGCTCGAGCCTGCTCGTAATTCTTGGAGCTCTAGGCCAATGTCTGATCGACCAGGGATTAGTGAAAGCCGCTCTTTCTTAGAGGGGTATATCGACTGCTCAAGCGATGGCCAACCCAGCTGCACTTGATTTCGCCACAAGTTTTGTGCAAGCATAAGAGATCATACCTTTGAACTCCCATGAAACCGAACCATCATCATCGTCATCGTCATCATCATCATCATCATCCATCAGTCATCCATCAGTCATCCAGAGGCCACGGGGAGGGCAGTGTGTGACCATGCACGACCACTCTTTGTTTGAATCGTATGTGCTCGACCACTTTTCAACTGATCGTCACAATAAAGTAGTACAAACCACATCGACCAAAATATTTTGGGATTTTGAAGGTCTAGGAAAGCTATGGTATTTACAGGGTTTTGTGCACCTTCCCGGCAGAAAACGCCGGTATTTACACGGTTTTCTGCGCTTTTCCAGCGCTCAACCGTGGTGCGCCTTTGGATCGACGGCTACAAAATACCGTAAATACCAGTGTTTTCAGCTCCTCCTGTCTTCAAGCGTGGCCTTAGACCTTGCCGCGGCTGTGGATCGACGGCAACGAAACCTCGTAAATACCAGTGTTTTTGAGCACGTCCTGTTTGCAAGCATGGCCTGCGGCCACGCAATTTACAGGGTCGCCGCACGTCACTATGTAAATCCGAAGTTGCTTTTGAGAAATATGTGACTCCTTTTGAAGGCACGTCAACCTGTATTGAACCCGCTAGACCGCTACAGCTTCTGGAGGTTTTGTCAAGCGTTTGTGCATTAGTCTTTCTTTCATCACGCTCACTCACTTCTCTTCAAACAAGTGGGGGGCCTCTCACCTCCTCCCGGATTACGCCTGATTCCCTGCTACCTTTCGTTCACCCCCCTCCTCTCTCAAGT